CATTCTCCAACAGAAACAAAAAATTACTTAAAATCTCAACTGCCTTTTTAAAAAGGATGAATCTTACCATTAAAGAATTCGTCTAGCCTTTTGCTGTCCCATTTTGTAGCTAATCATGTGGGTGACCTTGACTAAAGGTAGACTTGGAGAGAAAGGGGTGAAGGGGAGTGTGCTGTGTCCTTCTGCCCTATAGAATGAGCAGCTCCTGGGGCAGAATGATGGGAAGTTGGGGAAGAGCAATGGGGAGAGAGAGAGTCAGAGGGGGTTGCTGGCACAGTGGCCTCTCTGAGGCCCAGGGCAATAACTGAAAAAGCCTCATGAGCTCCATTCCCAATAATTAAAGCCCAGATTTTTTTTTTGAGGGCAGTGATTTTTATTTCAAAAAGACATATTCATTACTGTAGAGGCTGAAGCAATAAAAGGGATCCCAGTTAACTCAGTTAAGATTAAAACAATAATCAAATGAATCTGTTTAACTAAAAAACCAAATATCCAATTATTTAACAGAAAAATATCCATTTCTAACACAAATAATGGGAGCTCTTACTTTACACTGTTCCATTTTTCACCTGATACTTCTTTTTGTTGTGATAGAGAACATAAATTAGAAATATTCACAACTTGTCCCTGCTAATCTCCAAAGAAGGAAAGGCTCTTGGTTTCAGTAATGAGTTTTTCTTTTATTTTTTTTTTTGTACACAATATATCTATTTTATTTATTTATTTTTACGTGGCGCTGAGGATCGAACTCAGAGCCTTGCACATGCTAGGCAAGCACTCTACCGCTGAGCCACAATCCCAGCCCCAGTGATATATTCTTGTTCTAATTAGGGTAATGACTGAAGCTGCAGATGATGAGAGTGAATTGGATCACCATACAGCAGATAGGAAATGGAGCTACTCAGGTTGTGAGGATAAGGAGGGGAGAAAGAATCAGGGAGGAGGGTGGTGGTAAGCTAATATAGGAATGAAGTCAATACTTATTGATACTATGTCTAGAACTCAGTGTCATGCATGGTAATTAAAACTGCTTTCAAAGTGCTTTCTATACATTCAAGTTATTTCTAATGTATACTCATTTACCAATTGGTGTACACTGAAAATGTATACAGATAGATTACCAGTTCATAAAAAGAGATACACAAATCCCCAGCATGGGTTCGTTCAACTTACCTGGCCTCATACCAGGTGGTGAAAACCTGGATTTACTGGTTTTTGAGACCTTGGCCTGGCCCATATTTTCTTACTGATTAATTTCTAAAATGGCTGAAACCCAGTGGACTAGATTAGAGTTTATGTGAAGTCTTTTAAAATTTTAAGACATTATTATTTTAGAAAGTATTAGAACCAAATTGTGTCTTATTGGCATAAATTTTTTTAAGAAGAGACATGGATTCAAATCTCTTTGGAACACTTCCTAGAAGGTAATGCTAAGAATGCTACCTAATATTTCTTATTTTTTCATTTTCTATTTTGCAAAGTGGGACTATCTCATAAGTTGTTATAGGAATAAAATGAGAGGTTTGTAAAGCAGTTAGCATGATTCCTGGTCCATGGAAAGGTCTAAGAAGCAAACAATAAAACAACCACACCCATAATCATAAGGCTTGAAATCAAATGCTTTAAATAGTTTTTCAGACAAAAATCAACCAACCAACCAACCAACCAACCAACCAACCAACTAACCAACCAAATTAAAAACAAACAAAACCAAACCACAGACCTAACTAGAATCTGCAACTCCAGGCATTTCAATTTAACAAGTTTATACTGATGTAAGTGAAATTTAGTTCACAAATGTATTAATTTGTATTCCTGTATGTAGATGGTGTTGCATTTGAATAGATTTAATTCTTGCCCCACTTGAAACTTAAGTCCAAATTCACAATAAGGACAATATAAAATTGTTAGCAAACTTCAAAAATGTAAGTTGTCATATAGGTACTTCTGTAGTCTGCAGATTGGTAAGTTAACTCTCCCATCTTACTAAAGTGGGTAGTTAAGCCAGTACTGTCCTATTTCAAGTACTCAAGTTAGAGTTCTATTCTGGAATTTTCTATGTCTTTACCCTTCTTCACAGTTAGAGAAGATAATTTCTAGAACTTATGCCAGTGCCAGGATCCAAAGCAAAGTCCAGGTGGTATTATAGGTGCCCATGGGAATCTGAAAATGAGGACCCTGTCAGCTGGGCCAGTCCTTGGCAAAATTCTAAAGTAGATAAAGCAGCTTCATTTCCTTCTTCATCACTTGTTCCATGCCTATGTAGGTATTAAGTAAAAGGATTATTTTGCTTAATGACATTGTTTAAGCAATAAGTAAAATATTTGCTGATAAGGGTTTTTGATACAATTCATTCTGGGGATTTTTTTTAACTTTTAAGTTTGAAGTAATAATAGACTCAGAAGAAGTTGCAAAAGCAAACAAACAAACAAACTCAGAGTAGTCCTAGGTATGCTTCACCCAGTTTCCCTGTTGGTAAAATCAGACATATGTATAGTACATTATCGAAACTGAGAAATTAACATTGGTACAATAAGATTGACTAGACTACATACAGAGGAATTTTTAAAGAATGAAACATTCTCAAGGCTAAAAGGATATCTTAATGTCACCTCTGTCTGTGAAAATCTTAGCTTTGGCACCTGTCTTATTGAATGGCAGTCTGGATTAATGTGCTGTTTTACTCTACCCCTTCAGAGCAGGAATCCTGCTGTATTCACCCTTTATTCCTATTACTTATTAAAGTACCTGGCATTCAATAACTTTTTTTTGGTTAGAGGAATGACTAATAGCTATTTACATCTATAAAGGGTGTTATGGTTTTTGAAGCCCATTTATGCATGCTCTCTCTCCTGAGAGTGATCATGGTCTAGGTGAAAGAGAATGAACTGAAAGTATTCATTAGCTTGAGTATTGTGACAAGGCACTGAATGTCCCTGGGTCATACATTTTCATGTGCATAATTGTATCTGCATGACAGTTTTAAAGATTCAAATAGGCAGATGGGGGCTCTGGGAGGTAGGTAGGGTAAAGTATTTGATTGCCATTTTACAAAAAAAAAAAAAAAACCCAGAGAGGGTAAATTAATTGCTGAAAATCATAGAACTAGTACATGGCCATGCAGCTAAGCACCTCATTCATGATATCATGTTTGTCTTTGCTGAGAAACAGGAGAGTGGTCTAAAAGAAAGAAAAGCAAACAAGCAGCCATGGGACAGTTGCAGAGGTTTAAGAATTTCTCCTTATGTGTGGTTGTTGATTTTCTTTGCTATGTGTACAGAAAATCTTCACTTGGAAGGGGGTGGTGTGATGGGCTCCATTAAAGTTAAGCCAAGGTTGTGGGTTGTTGTTTCAGGGATCCCTGCTAAATGCTTCTCACCCTAACACTCAACTAACACCAAGGAATCTTGCTTGTTCAACTCTGCATCCAATGCTTATGTTCTCAGTCCCTGTAGAAAGCATGAGAAGATGAGAATTTGGAACTCAAATTTTTTAATCAAAAGAGAACCTAAATTTAAAAAGATGGAGGGTTTTGACATTCTTATCGTGTTTTCCTATTTTCTGCTTATGAAACTAGTTTCTTATTAACCAAAGAGTACATGCTAACATGGAACTTTTTCAATAACCAAAAATGACTTAGGGATATATCAACCAAAATTGCCCCACAGCCAGCCTTGAACACCTTCACATGCCCTAGAACCCTCCTTACTAGAAATGCCTATTGGAGAAATACTCCTTTGGATTAGACAATCTATTAGTTTCACTGAAAAGTAATAGGCGATGGTAAAATTTGTTAATGATTTACAAGGACTGTTGGCTGCAAATTTCAAAAGTTCTGGTGCCTTCAACATTGAGTTATAATTAAAAACATTAATTTTTTTTGTTGTTGGTGGTTTGCAATTTGACTTTTCTTCCCTCCAGTTAAAAAATGGGAATGCCAATAATTAAGATTAGAGCTTCAGAAAGCTAGGACTAAAACATTTCTCCAGGATTCTCAGTAGTTTCTTTGGTTTTGATACTGTCCCAACCTTTGACCATTTAGGGGAAGTATTCTAAAGGTAAAGAGAAGAAAAAAAATAGCTGTAGTGTAGTGCAGGCTATTAGAATTAAGAGACTTAACATTGAGAGTTACCCAGAGAATTTCCTCAATAAAATATCTTTGTGTAAACAAAACTTTTGCAAACTCTTCAAAGATTAGAGGAATATAAACATCCTCACGGGTTCTAAAATTTTGGAAGCCCACACTCCTAGAATCCTAAGGTATTAAGGATACTCAGACAGCTTCTTTCTTGGCTTGTCTTTGACTTTCTGATGGTTTATTACCTAAGAAACAAAGACACATTATTTCTACCTACATACAATAATTCTAATGAGGCTTGATGCATAATGATTCTTTCCCTTGAATTTAAAACAGGATTTTTTTCTTCTTGAAAGATAAACCATAGCACATATAGAGGAAGCAAAAGTTGTCATTTGGAACTCCTTGTGTGCCTATGTTTTTCTTTGTCCTGTGTTTTGCCTTGTTTTTCTTTCAAGGAATAGTGAGAAACCTGGCTAAATAAGAAGAGTGCTAGGGCAGCATCTCTCTGTGTGGTTGAACACCCATGAGGCAAAGCATTACAACTACACAGAAACTGGAGCAAATGTCAGGACTTCCCCAGGATATTTCAATGGACATCTCCTTGGACACAATTTCTTTAAGGACTGATACACTTTAAACATAACATCACTTAAAATATCAGTTATATAAATTGGTTGTAATGACTCATAGGTTTGTGTGGCATATGGGTCTTGCTGAATATTGATAATGACAAAATATTCCAGTTTTCAATACAAATACCAGGTATGTACTAAGAATAATAATTCTGAAGTAAGACTAGAATTTTATCAGAAAGTGAATCTTTAGCTTAAAAACAGGAATGTAAGTAATGAACATTCATACTTGTGATTATTTTACAAAATACTTAGTATATATAAAATAAGATGCTGAGCATACTTACAATATTTTCCAATCACTAAGATGTAGACGAAGACAGGACCAGATGCCATTTCCTTCTTTCTGAGGAACTGATTAATGAAAATGAATAAAATTTGTCTTGGTTCTGAGTCGGGTACAGCTCACGGTGGTTGTGTGCTATTTCTGTCTGCAATCTTAGCAGCTATAAAGCGATCCTCCCTCCTTTCTCTCTCATTTTATTTCTCTCTCTCTCTCTCTCCATTCCCTCTTCTTTTCTTTCTTTCTCTCTCTCTCTCTCAGGATGTTTCCTCCCCGCCCTCTTTCTCTAAAAGTCTTAATATTCTTCTTTACACATACATGTGCACATGCACATACAAACGCAGGCAGAGCTGAGCAGCAAGGAAAAGTTTCAGACAGAGAACACACAGGCTCTGTTCCCTCTAAACATCTTGTTTCTGTGTCCTGCGACAGTCTACAAATAACGGTGTGTGTGAACACCGACAAATGTCTGCTCTGATCAGAATCACACTTCTAGAGAGAAATGCAGCTCGAGATAGATTCCGAACAAAACCACAAGATTTTTCCCCCTTGACAAGTGATGAGGAAAAGAACAGAGCTACACAGAGCAAAATGCCTTTGTGGAGTGAACGATAGGGCGGCAATTAAAGTGTAACTACAGCAGTCTTCTGTAATTTGTGTTTGGAAATTCAAACAATAGGACATGGTTGAGAGAAAAAACACAGAGGAATTTAAAAAAAATCTAAAATTCTTCTGAATTCATGAATTTATCTACAGCAAAGATCATGACATGTCATTGACTGTGGAGTAATTTTCTTGGTTTGCTTTGTAGGTGCCCTGCCACTTTAGTGTTGTGTAGAAGCTTGGCTGAGCCTTAGCTTTCTGGAGGAAAATATTGAAGACTAGTGCAGGTCTAGTGCATATTAGGTGATTACTAAATGGCAGACATTTATATGATGATGATATTTATAGTTTGACCAGCAGTGGGGAAAAACATGCAAATCCCAAGAACACTTCTGTGAAATGCATTTCCTTTAAACCAGAATATATATTTTTTGCTTTGCAACTTGAAAATGTATTTCTACAGCAAATTGGTAGCACATGGATATGAGGAATTTGTTTGTGAGGTTAATACTCACTACTTGTAGATTCCACAATCTATTTAAATTTCATATTTTTACATCATTAACTTCAATAAGAAGCCTATTTCTAAATAGTGTCTAAAAGATTATCTTAATAACCCTCCTACCATCAATATCATTCATTCCATGAAATAAAGTAATCCCCAAAGGACTAAAAAAAGAGCATACTACAGTGACTCAGCCACATCAATGTTTATAGCAGCACAATTCACAGTAGCCAAACTGTGGATCCAACCTAGATGCCCTTCAATAGATGAATGGATAAAGAGACTATTTGGTGTATACACAGTGGAATATTACTCAGCATTAAAAGAGAATGATATTATGGCATTTGTAGGTAAATGAATGGAGTTGGAGAATATCATGCTAAGTGAAGTAAGCCAATCCCCCAAACCAAAGGCTGAATTTTTCTCTGATAAGTGGATACTAATTCATAATGGGTAGTAGGGACATGGAATGATTGAAGGAACTTTGGATTGGGCAAAGGGGAGGGAGGGGAAGAGAGGGGGCCTGGGGGTAGGAAAAATGGTGGAATGAGACAGATATCATTATCCTAGGTTCATGTATGATTGCATGAATGGTGTGTCCCTACTTCGTGTACAACCAGCAAAATGAAAAATTGTGCTCCGTTTATGTACAATGATAGAGCATCCTGCTGTCATGTATAACTGATTAGAACAAATAAAAAAAGTAATTAAAAAATTACTGTGGAGTAATTTTTTTGGGTTTGCATTGTAGATGACCTGCCACTTTGGAGCTGTGTAGAAGCTTACTTTTTAAAAAAAGTAATTCAATACTGGAATCTACACTAATCTGTCTTCATTTAAGATTTATTTAATGAAGACAATTTCTTTTGGTAAGAAATGTTTATAGTTAACTGAATTTAAATGCCCACTAAATATTTGGTATTTTAAATAGTACTTGAAATGTTTTAAGAGGATTTGTGAGTGGCTAGTGGATAATTTAATATTTTAAAAATACTGTTTCCTAGAAGGATGCTTTGAGACATATGAAGGGCAATGTCTAAAGAAGGACCCATAGAAACCTTTCAGTAATAAAGCTGAGGAACTTACTTTGGAAATTATCCCAGTGTAAAGGAAATTACAGATGCAGAGGTTTTCAGGCTTAAAAAATTATACACATACATGTACAATTAGTTGGCCAGGAGCCAGAAAGTACTTTGTAATTATTTATCTTTAATCTACTCAAATTATCAGTGCAAAATTTCAAAATCACTTCTCACTTTAATTAAGAATATAAAGGGGTGGGCGCGATGGCGCATGCCTGTAATCCCAGCAGTTTGGGAGGTTGAGGTAGGATTGTGAGTTCAAAGCCATCCTCAGCAACCTGATGAGGCCCTAAGCAACTCAGCGAGATCCTGTATTTAAATAAAATATAATAAAGGGTAGGGAATATGGCTTGGTGTTTAAGCACTCCTGATATATATATATATATATATATATATATATATATTCAATTCCTGGTACCAATATATATAATGAATTTCATAAAAATAGATATTTACTTGAAGAAGTCATTTTTGATATCTGTGGATGCCACTTCTTTCTTAGTTTTAGCAAGGCAGGGAAGAATTTGGAATATTAGTTTTATATAAGTATATTGGTGGGAGAAAACCAAAAGTGAGCATAGAGAGCCCTTTCCATTTGCAGCACTACTGTTGGTAACCTTGGGCTGGAGGATTCTTTTTTGTGAAGGGCTATTCTTTGCCCTGTTGGATATTTAAAAGCATCCCTGTCCTCTACCAACTGGGTGAGGATAATACTCTGCAGATGTGAAAATTAAAGGTGTCTTCAGACATTGGCAAATACCCCTTGGGGACAGGAAGCAAATTCACTCCTGATTAAGAACTAATGCCTTGTAGCCAAATACTCCCTTGAATAATGATTAGTATTGATTTAACCAGATTATTGAATAGAATACTTTGTACCTAAAATTTGAGTTAAAATATATTTCTCATTTTCTTGTTTTGCAGTCTGAAGATGTACATTAAAATAAACATATGGCATGTGTTCTTAGCCTTCTCTTCCTGCCCACATTGTTCAATTATAAACTTGCATTAAGGACTTGATAGAATCTGTGATGTTAATATCTTCCTTTTGGCTGAGCATTGTCCAAGTTTTCTACCAAAGATTGAATCAAGCCAGACAAGCATTATTAGCCCATCTAATCTAGATCCACAGTAACCTGTGGTTTCCCATCTTATCATGACTGAAGATCACTGTGTTCTTTTGTGCACGATTCTGAACCTATCAGCCACCATCATTTTCAACAGTGGAAACAGCCATTTTATTAAATATTATTTTTGATTGTAGACAGGAATTTTATAGAACAAGAGGTTGGGAAAATCTCAGTTAAAGCCTTACGGTGCAGAGATATTCAAGTAATAGTTCACCAGCCACAAATTAAGTATATCAAGTACAATCTGAGGGCAAAACGTTCATGCCATCAAATTGTTTATCCTGTAGATTCATTTCTAGTTTGACAGATGTCAGTCAAGCAAGACTCTTAAGGTGCTCATCTAAGTCACACCCAAAGACAATTTTAGCTATCTTGATTTAGTATCAATTAAATACATGAGAAATGAGATGGCCTTTGGTGAAAGATATTAAGCAAAACATGCAATTAGGATAGAGCAACTAATAGGCACAAAGATTTCAAAAGATGTTTTACCCCAAATATAAACAATTATGTCTCAGATAAAAGTGACCAGGAAATATTATGTCGTTTTAGCAGAAAATTAACCATTAAGTAGCAAGCCAAGCCCCAGTTCATATGTTGTCATACATCCTCTTGATGGTTATAATAGGAACATAGAATATAGTGACCCTCTGCAAAATTGATAGTGTGAAGAATATGATGGCAGGGCAAGAAGCAAAACTCTCTCTCTCTCTCTCTCTCTCTCTCTCTCTCTC